TTTCCCCACTCTCCTCCCCTCCCTTCACTCCCGGATCCCCTCCTTGTTCACAACAGCCTGTTTCCATTCTCCCTTCTCTTCATCGAGTTTCTTTTCCTTCCTCCCTTCTCCCTTCCCTTCCCATTTGCACACTTGCTTCTCGTGTCACCATTTCTGTGGCTCACTTTGGCTTTACTCTTGGAGTTTCCCACACCGCAGAGACAATGTGAGCTTCACACGTGTGTCCGATTTATTCCCCTCTTAACCCTATGGCCTCCAGGCACACCCACTTAGCTGGACGGGCTCACGCTTTTCTCCCTATGTCTGAGTAGTACGCATTGCCTCCTTTAAAGGCAGCATCGTGAAGAGGAGGTCTCCTGAGGTGCCTCGAGTACCAGGCATCACGCTGGGAATTTAATGCCAGCTGCTACGGCGCCTCAAAACCTGGTGTCCTTTTCCTTGCCTTGTGAAGCCTGCTGGGTCTTGCTCTGCATGCAGGGTGTTCCTGAAAGTCATGGCTTGTAGCTGGTTGTCCCCCAAAGTCTCGTGTGTCATGGGAGGGAGCTTTAGGAGGTGACTGGATCACGGGGCCACGATAGTCATCGCTGGGTGAACCCACTGTTATGTTCACAGTTGGAGGTGGCGTGTGGGCCGAGGGGGGAGGGGGTCCTGGGGCGGGGCCTGGAAGGTCGCTCCCTCCTCCCCTTGATCCCTTGCTGCTTCCTGCCGCCCTGCCCGGGACTGTTCTCTGCCAGCCCTTTGCCACGCCGCCCTGCCTAGGAGCCAGCTGAAAGCTCTACACACTGTGAACCAAGTGAAGCCGCTCCTTTAATTTGTGGGTGCCGGTAAGGTAGCCAAGACTGAGTAGCAATCATACAGAAAAATCTCACAGGAACACGGCTGGGGTCTTTCTTCTCTGAGGCCGCTCTGCTGACGCTTGCAGGGCAAAGCTCCTCCATGTGCAAAGCATTACAGCTTTTTAAAACTGATTTTGCATGTTTAGATTTGGTAATCTGAACAACTAATTTGAAGACAACATCATGTAATACAGCAACCACTCTCAAATTCCTATTGCTTTGTTTGATGAAGTTCTGTATAGTTGATCATTTTTTTTCTATTTTGTATTGTGTTTAGATAAAAAAAGAAGTACATGTACTAAATACAGATTTCAATGGTTCGACTCATGTTCACAAGACTTGCATTCTATGTTTTGTGTAATAATTTTGCTCCTGTTAAGGCAGACATACATGAAAACCTAATCAAAGACTTCTCTACACCTGGAGAGGCTGGGCGGCCGTGCGCTTTGATGCACACAGAGCGCTGTGTAAGGGACGCCTCAGTCAGATCCTCTGGGCCCCTCAGGCCCTGCCAGAGTGGTCTGGGGAGCCCTGAAGCGGCTGCACCCCACCGAGGGCGGAGGGGCCCAGGGCCCCAAGCACTCCCAGCTCAGGATCGCGGCCCAGGCTCCTGCTGTCCCCAGGTTGGTGCTAGGGTACCTGGCAGCGGCAGGGATGATGCGTGCAGCATTTCCAGCTTGGACAGCATGCGTGTCCACTGTGGTTCATTTCTGGAAGCCAGGGAGATGTCCCTGGTGAGAACCGGGGCGGCACCCACAGCCAGACCTCGTGAGCTGGCGCGTAGGCTGCAGCGAGGCCAGGGGACCTGGCACTGCCTCGGCGTCCCACACGCGAGGACAGGTGCGTGACACTGCTGCTGGAGGGGAGAGATATTTACTACGCAGGTTCTGGGGGCAGAGAATCCGGATGTGGGGAGGCCATTTGGCTGTGGCTCAGGTCCTAACATCACGGTATGGTTAAGAGGACCTGGCCCCCCTCAAAGTCCCCACCTGCTTGGAAAGCTGCCGAGCATCCTTGTCAGCTGATGTTCCCACTGAGTGACGGAGCCAGCCAGGCTACCGCAGTGCTTTCTGTTGTGGTACTGGGATGTTTTCAACTACTCCTCAGTGGCCAGGGACAGAGAAGCCATGTGGCCCCCAGTCTGAGCACACCGCGCCCTCCACCACGCTGTGTCCACCCCACCTGCGCTGTGTGGCACCTCTAGTTCCAGGGGGCCCTGAAGCTCAGCTCCTGGCCCTCTGTCCGAGCGGCTGTGCCTTTGCCAGGCTCGGGCTCTCCCTGTAGGACCCTGGGTGTGTTCAGCATGCCACTGTGACCCGTGACAGCTCTGCCTCCCCCATCCTCGCGTCTCTGCTGATCAGCTTTGATTTTACATGCTCTGTGGGAGGGAGGACCCCATGCCTGGCCTCTGGACAGCCCAGCCACGTGGACAGGTGTCCCAGGCCCTGCTCAGGCCTGTGAGTGCTTGTTGAGTGACCAGGTGAGTGTGTGGAGCCCTCTGTGCCTGCCACAGCCGACCCGTCCCAGTCCAAGGTTTCTCCGCTGTGTCTTCAGCACAGTGTCTCCTGTCTTTGGGCCAAGGTGACACCAGCCCCCTCCCATGTCCCACAGAGCTAAATGGCCTGAGCCTTCCTTGCACACACACTTCTTAGAAGAAATTGTGTGTGTTGGAGAGAGAACATGGAAGACACGACCTCTGGTGCAACCTGGATTTTAAAAAAGTAATGAAATTCCACAGTCTGGTAATTTCTTTCTACTCAAATGCCCTCTTTGACAGGAGAGAAAAAAGGCTTTCTGAACAAAACAGTTTAGTTGGTAGGAAATAAGTGGAAAAGATGTTGCAGTTGGCCTGATTCCTGGAACCGGAATTTCTGCTTCTCCCCACAGAAGTGCGGCGCAGGGCAGTGAGGCCCTCCTCGCCCCAGCGGTCTCTCCGGTCCTGCTATCAGCTTCCACCTGTTCACCTAGGGATCGGTGCCCACTCAGGCTGGTGCTTCTGGCTCAGCCTGGGGGACTGCGATGGCCATGGTGCAGGTGCAGGGGGACAGAGGTGGCAGGCCTGCCCTCTGCCTTCCAGTGCCCCGACTCTTGGTGGGACCTCCTGTGGTCCCGCAAGGCAGAGGTCCCCAGCTCTGTGCTAACTGAGGACAGGCCAGAGGCTGGTGCCTTGGTACCCTCAGCTAACCGTGTGGTGGCAGTGGCATGGTGGGGCCAGGGCTGCTGTGGACGTGGATGGGGCCAGGGTGGCCTTGGCCTGCAGCCCTCCTGGCCACAGCTGCCAGCCTCCCACAGTGTGATGCGGAGAACCTGTGGCTCCTGTGGGGACCGTGGAACTTCTCCAGTGTACCAGGCTTAAGGACCACCGCTCCACCCTTGACCTTGAGCAGAGCCCCATGCGACAGCCTCGCAGTGCAGGCGGAGGTGGGTGCAGCCGGCTGGACACGCAGTGGCCGAGGGCTGCCGTCAGAGTGGACAAATAATCTAATAGTCGTGTTTATAAGAATAGCTTTCCAAATGTGAAACCAGTAGGCAGGCTCAGTGGACACTGGCGTGCAGAGGAGGGTGCGGTCACGCTTGTTTCTGGGAGGAGAGCCTGGAGTTGGCCTTCTTGGTGTTTCTCTTTCTGACTTGTTTTTCTTCGTGTTCTAAATTTTATGACATGAATGTCAATTTTTTGTTTGTTTGTTTTTTTAGTACAGAGTCTACAGGGTCTTACTACAGAGATTGGGTTCGGATTCATAGTGGTTCTCCTGTTTTCAGCTTCCCGAGTGCCGGGATTACAGGTGTGCACCACGGTGCCTGTAATGGTGGTCTCAGCACACCCGGGGGCAGGGCTGGCACAGCATGCTGGATATTGAATCCTGGCTGTTGCGCTCTGCCTAAGCAGGCGCTTTAGTCCGCTGAGCTATCTGGCCGGCCCTAAAAAGGTTTATTTTGAGATAAGGTCTCACCGAGTTGTCTAGGCAGCACTCACACTTGGGGTCCCCCTGCCTCACCTTCCTGGAGTGCCTGACCTGCATGGAGTAGTTTTATGAAGGATGTCTCAATAGAACTGCTGGAGCACCGAACTAAATCACACCAGCGCTCTCACATTCTGCCCAGATCTGCGCTCACTGTGGTCAGCAGCAGCCACACTCTCACCTGGACGCTGCGCACACACCAGTGACAGACGCGATCCTGGTGACAGCCACCCTCTCCCCAGGACAGGCCTGCTGGGCCCGGGCTTCCTTCTTCCCCGACACCCACCGCGGGAGCAGTGTGCGCTGCTGAGAGTTGCTGGGGGGCAGCTCTCGAGCCCGGCAGCCTGGACCGTGGCCTGCTGTGGCCTGGGCACTCCTGAAGGTGACCATGAGGACACGGCCCGCTGTCCTCCTTCGGAGATACTCTGGACGCAGCAAACACGTATGGCACAGTGGGGACAAATGCCGCTGTCCCCGCTGCCTGAGTTCTCTTCCTCAGCAGCTACATGTTGGGGTGGGGGCAAAGGCAGGAGGAGACACCCCGACACACGGGGTGCCACACCAGGAAGCGCTTCAACGGCAGCGGCCGGCACAGGTATAAATAAATATGTCCTTTGCGTCTGGAAAGCTACTACAAAGGTGTGTAAGAACTCCTACCAAGACTTCATGGCCTGGAAGACCTCTCCTTAGCCACCAATTCCGGTAATGAAAACGGTGATCACCCCGGTGTCTCTGCCAGCTACTGCTGGGCTCGGGGACACGGAGAGGGTCGCTGCACTCCCGCTCTGTCCACGCACGGCCTGGCGGCTGACGGTGCTTGCAGCACAAGCTGCTTCGCCGTCCCGCCTGTCCCGGACGGCTCTCTCTCCTGCGTGTGCGCGGGAGCGCGGGGCCGCAGAGTACGCAAGGCTGCACCAGCGCCCCAGAGCACTCCTGCCAGGCCGGAGGGCCCGCGCCTGCGCGCTGGCACGCTTGGCTTTGACTAAGCCCCGCCCTCGGACACCTGCAGCCGTGCCCTTGCTGCTGCCCTTGACCTTGACCTTGTGGGGTAGGGGTGGGGTTGCTGCCTCTAGTTGTAAAAAACGACCAAATACCCAAAAAGCTGGCAAGACACAGAAAAGCACTGAGATCGCAACTTAATGGTTAATTGGCATTGTTTCTTAAAAAAAATCTAATGAATAGAATATAATTTATATCTCATTTAGGAAAAATATACCACTTGGTCCTCAGAAATAAACATTAAATGTAAACCAAATGGAAGCCGAGGAGTGACACAGCAAAGGGAAATGGGAAGCGAAGAGATTATCCGTGAAAGTGGAAACGCCTTCCTGCGTCGCTCCCACGCGGCCGCGGCATCCCGAGGCCCCGCTCAGCAGTCCCGGCCGCTGTGCGATGTCTGCAGGGCCCTCCTGGGCCCTGGAAGAAAGCAGAAGACGTCTCCAGGCAGTCCCTACTTTTACCCTTCGCTTCTTTATTACGAATATAAACAGCTCATTCTTTGCCTCTTTATTTGTCTTTTTTGTGTTTTTTTAACAAATAATTTTTGGTAGCTGTATTATGCGGTGATTCATAAAATAACCTTCCTAGTTCTGCTGGGCGAGGTGCGGCATTTCTGTTCCCCGCCCTGTCAGTCACAGCAGGCAGCTTGGGAAAGTGTCCGCGGCCACGCCCTCCATATGAAAGTGTCCCCTCCTGGCTCCCAAACCTGTGATGTGGGACCCAGCTACGGGTCCACACCTTGTCTGGGACCCTTCCCAGGTCATTTCTGGGTTCTTTGGGACACCCACTCGCGGGTCTCCACAGCCCACCTAATGGCCCCCTGGGGCGGGGTTGGCGGTGGTGCAGCACCCCTCTGCGGGGCTGGCAGGGAAGGTGGCGAACTTAACTGTCTTCCTCTGGGAGGTGGGTGAGTGCGGCGCCTCTGGCCGGGTGGCCCCGCCCACCGCCCAGTGCACCTGGCCCAGCACCTGCTGCTGGGCGCCTGCCCTGCTGAAGAGCAGCTGGTCTCTGTCCTTGCAGCTGCCTGGGCCGTGGTCTATGGCAGTCGTGCGCTCGTCCAGGGGCGGCGCGGTGTCCCCTGCGCCCTCCAGGAGCTCAGCCTCATTGCCCAGCCACACCCAGTCATGCGAGTGGGTCACCGAGGCCTGGCCCTCGGGCGGCATCTGCTTCTGCCTGAACTTCAGGGCGAAGGTGGCACAGTTGATGAGGAAGACAAGGATGGCCAGGCAGAAGACACCCAGCAGAGCGTACATGCCGATCTCCAGGTCGCTGAGGCTGCGCGCCGCGGGCACCAGGTCGCCATCCTGCAGCCCGGCCCCGGCCCGCGGGAGTTCCCCACGCGCGGGGAAGTTGGTGAAGTCGATGGGGATGTTCTGCAGTGGCTCCTCCCCGGGTGCCGGGGCCCCGTCCAGCCGGCTGCTCTTCACCACCCTGTTGCCCATCAGTGCCTTGGCGGTGGTTGTGGCCCTGCGCAGCGCCCCCTCCTCACGCTCCCTGGCCAAGCCGCCCTGCAGCCGTCCCTCGGGGCCCTTCTGCCTGCGGTCGCTGGCGTGGTTCTCGATCTCCTCCTCCTCCTCCTCCTCCTCCCTGGCATCCCCTGTAGAGCTAGCATCTGCATCGCTCTGTCCAAACTTGACCCTGACCTTGCCGAAGCCCACGGCCAGCACGCTTTTGCGCTTGGATTTCTGGCAGGACTCCGCAATGCTCATGTCCACGCGGATCAGTGGGCCCTGACCTTCCCCCTCGGCCACCATGATGGGCCACCAGGGCGAGCGTGATGGGGGCACGGACACGACAGCCTCGTCCAGGGAGGTGGCAGCCAGGGAAAAGTCCTTGCTGTCGTAGATGTCCACAGGTGTCACTGAGCCGTCACTGAACTGCAGCCAGGTACTGAGCACAGCTTCCTGCAGGGAGACAGGCAGTTAGGGCCAGTCGGAGGGAGACCTTCCCAAAGAGCTCCTGGGGGAGTAGGACCCAAAGGACCGAGCAGGACCCCAGCCAGGCCCATGGTCCATGCATCTGGGGAAGGATCCAGGCTTTATACTAAGGTCAGAAAATTCACCTGAAGCTGGAGCAGTTCTAGAACAGCTCCTACCAGGAGAGCAAGCAGATGCACACTGGAGCATCTGTGTGGTCCCTGGGAGGCTCCCGGTCACCCTTGGATTTGTGTGCTGGACCAGGTATGTGAGGACAGAGGCTGGGGCATGGATGGAGGGGACAGAGCCCAGAGAGGTGGGCAGACACAAGGGCTCAAAGGGAAACTCCCTTCCTTTCAAAGGCAGAAAAGTGGGCTTATCCTGCCCCTGGCCTGGCTTCACCATGACAGCTGTGTGTCACATACCACATACCCTGGGGTCCTGGCTCCACTTGCAGTCTCTGGGGCTATCAGAAGAAAATAGGAAGTTCAGAGCGGTGTAAGGGGCTGAGCTCATTGGAAAGATCTGCTCTTGTATCTCTGGAGCAACAAAGCCACATGAAGTCCCCACTGTAGGGATACTAAAGGGGCCTGAGGGCCTCCTGCCCCACCTCTAGGCCTGGCCAGGTCTCAGGAAGCTCCGCTGTCCCCTGCCCACCCTTTGTCCATGATGGCCCTTGGCGAGCACAGAGTCATGGAGGGCACCTTTCCCCTGAGCTGTGGATGCCTGCTCTGCCTCTTGGCTGGAGCTGGAGCCTCCCCCAGGTAGACTCAGCGGCAGCAGCTCTTCAGCACCAAGGACAGAACCAGAGACACCCGCTGGCTTCCTTGCATGCACTGAGGTGATTCTACTTCTGTTCCTCTGGCCTCGCGGCCCCTCGGCCCAGGTAGCCCTGCACACTTGATGACTGGGGCTCGCAGCAGTCCTCCCCTCTCAGCCCGCTGAGTGCTGTGATCCCAAATGTGTGTCCCACACCTGTCATGCCTTCTAGTAAGCAGGCGGAGCTGACTTCCACTGGGCATTCACGGAGGGCAAGGCTGTGCAGCCTTCTCCTCTTTCACAAGACAGGCATGGTTATGACCCCTTGGTAAAGAGAGGTCAGCAAATGCTTCCACAGTTCGGGGCCCTGCTCTCGATCATGACACCTGAGCGCCCCTGGCAGCCATCACCAGGGCCGAGAAGTCAGCCTGGCCCAGGATGTCCATGACCTGTGCCCTATGTGTCCCCTCCTTCCCACCCTTCCTGCCTCTCACATTGCATGTCTTCGACTCTGCAGCTGCCGCCAGAGCAGGACCCTGGCCACAGGTGTGGTGGAGAACCCTACTCCTGGAGACCAGCAGAGCAGCTGTCATGGTTGGGCCTTGAGCCCTGCTGGGGTGGCACCACTCAAGATTAGCTGTGTGCTGGCCGGTGGGGCTGAGGTCCTACACAGCCCCTGTGGGGCTGCCGGTCCTGCCTGTATGGTCAGGAAGGACATGGGGCTGGCTCCACTCGAGTCACATGGAAAGCCACACAAGACTTCATGGGAAGCAAGCCAAGTGCTGTGGCACTGTCCTCTCTCCCGAGAAAAGAAAGATGGTCTTCCCTTGCTGGGAAACATCCACCAGAGGGTCCCGAGGAATGTATGTGGGAAGGGGGGCAGGCTGATGTCTGAGACGACAGAGGGACTGGAAAGGCCCTAAGACCAACCCACAAACAAGGGCAGTACCAGTGACATAAACCACTAGGAGATAGAAGTGGAATCACACCGACAGGGTAGGAGTGGATGGGATCAAGAGAGAGGTTTAGAAAGAACTGAAGAATTTCTAGAAGTGGGAAGCAGCGACTGAAATTAATTACCCAAAGGATGGTCTAGAGAGTGGACTGCCCATGTCGGAGGGAAGAACTAGCCCCACCAGACGAGGCCAGCACACTCCCTCAGGAGCAAAAAGACTCACTTTGCTTATAAACAAAAGATGTGGAAGGCACATCCAAGGGGCCCCGGGAGGGACGCAGATACCCAGCAGCTGCCTGGGAAGAAGGAGCAAGGGTGGGGGAGGGCAGGCCAGAAGCAACTGTGACCCTGTTATGGCTTGTGTTTAGTTGTCCCCCAAGGCCTCATTGTAGTCATGGGGTGGGGACTTCTAGAGTTTGAGATTAACCCATGATCCACTGGGATTATGGGTGTGAGTACTACACCCCACCCTGGGGCAGAGAACCTGAATGTAATATAAGAGAGACAGACTTTCTCTTTCTGTTGCATTGTTGTTGCTCCGCTGCGGTGAGCTGCTGCCCGCTGCCGTGTGCCGCTCTGCCTTGGAGCCAGCCGGGTATGGACTGAAACCTCCACTAACTGTGAGCTAAATAAACCTTTCCTTCCTTCATTTTGGGTGGTGGGTATTTGTCCCAACAGCAAGGGAAGAGTAACTGGGAAACCCTCCAAAGCCCTACATGGAGGTGCGTGTGTCTCCAGGGTCTGAGAAGTTCTGTTACTTGCTTAGGCCAGCTGGCGCTGGGGGTGGAGCGTCTTTTGCGCTTGGAATAGAAAGCCTGAGCCGCCAGAGAGCGGACTCCGAGGAGGGAGGGACGGAGGGAGGGAGAAAGCACTTCACCAAATTTGAGGATGGGTGGCTCAGCCGCCTTCTCATCACTGACACATAGAACCATTCATCCAGGACTTAGGGAAGAGTTTGTTTTGGTCCAGGAGTCCAGAGAGTCCAAGGAGAGAAACCCTCCAGGCCACGCCACGCTAGGCCACGCCAGGCCACGCCTCTCCAGGCCACGCCCCGCCAGCCAGCCCTGTCTCCTACCAGGAAGTCTGCTGTAAACTCCCAATCCAGTCACTTTCTCAAAGCCCTGCCTCCCAGCATAGCAGCGTCTGGGATCCTCACTGGTTTAAATCAGAACAGGGGGGAGCTCCCTGCCAGTTCCTGCACATCTGGCCCACGCGGTCCAACACTTTTCTTTCTGCTGCCGGGGCCCCTGTGGCCTCTGTTCCTGCCTGCATGGAAGGGCGGGGGAAGCAGAGCTCACCAGCAGCGATCTTCCGGTGCTGCAAAGAACAGCTGCTCCCTGCTCCTCGCTGCTCAGCTACAACGTGCCACCTAGCCCCGCCCGGCCTGGCTCCCGACTCCAGGAGGCCAGCTGAAACCCCCTGGGCCAGGCCACAGCTGAACCGGTGCCCTCCTCCTAGGTTACGCCCTCCCAACCCCTGCGGGGTGGCCTGCTCCCCACTTGTCTCCAGCTCAGCTGTGCAAACCAAAGTCAGACAGGCCAGGGCTACACCAGGCTGGCTCCGCCCTGGCTCCAGTCTGCAGGAAGGAGGAGTCCCTGCCCCGCCCTGATGCCTGCAGCCCCGCCTGATGCCAGCGGCCCCTCCTCTCACTTCTTCACTTCAGCCCTCCCTGGGAAGGCGGGCTCTGGGCGCACGTGTGCAGTCGCCCTCTCATCCTGTGGCTTTCCCACTTCCCGGAGGAAGACCTCAGGAGCCAGCTCCGTGCTTGGCGCCTGATAGGAAACTCTGCTGGCACTGGGCGCGCCTCGCAGCTGACTTTTCTTCGAGAACTGATTTTCTTCATTCCAGATGGGGAAAGAAGCTGATGTGGAACAACTGGAAAGGCTGCTGCGGGCAGAGACGTTCCCAAAAATCTCCATGCTGCCCAGCTTCGTGACTCAGCCCAAGTTGGTCCCCTGTGTGCCTGACACAGGAAGGTCCCCTGCGTCCCCTTGGACACTTCGCATTCCGAACACAAGACTCCTAGGTAGCTCTGAAGAAAGCACACCCGCCAGCGCCAGGGTCTTGGGCCAGTGAGAGCCGTGAAGCCCTGCCCAGTACCAGGGCAGGTGACTCCGCTGAGGAAGACAGATGGGCTGGGAGGCCCTGTGCTGCACAGAGCTGTCAGCACTGTCCCCGTCCTCTCCTGCTCCCTTCTCTCTGTGCTTTCTAACCTGGAAAACACTGCACAGGCGTACCTGTGCTTGGGGAGCCGGCAGGACTGCTGTGCACGGTGTGTGCCAGGCAGGGCGCAAGGGGCCGGCAGAGCCACCGGCTGGCGCCCGTGGCCAAACACGCTTGGCAAGGTGAGGCCGAGGCGAGGGCGATGTCCCCGCGACTGCTGTGCTTCGGCAGGCACTTCCCAGGGCACCACTGCGGGCAGCGAAGCACAGCAGCGCTGGAGGGAAGTGCTGACCAGGAAGGCAGGAACCAGTGAGCAGGGTTCTGGCTTCTGCCGGGCGCACGGGGCTCTGAGCCGCTCCATCCGTCCCTGCATCTGGCTCTGCGAGCCGCACCCAGCAGAGCGCTGGGCACCGCCGACCTGAGTGCTTATGCTTGGTGTCCTCCGAAGCTGACAGTCGGGGCACTCGTCATGTGGCAGTCGCTGCCCAGTATGCTGTGGGAGCTGTGGACCTTGGCCACAGCTTGTCACTGTCCTCTGCAGGCCCAGGCGACACACGGGGTCCCAGCCTACATCCCTGGCCAGGCTCTGCCACCGCACACACTTTAGCCATGTGTCCTCCCCCCACATCCTCCCTCCCTGTGGACAGTCATGCCACTGCCGTGGAACCTTGGGCAGGGGCGGTCTCTCTGTTCTACCCCAGGACTCCATCACCTGGCAAGGTAGGCCACACCGTGCATCTGGTGGCCTGGGCTCCTCCTCTCCCAGGCACCCACCGTGGAAGCCAGGGTGGACGGGCATCCGGAGCAAGGTGCGTCTGCCCTGGCACTCCTGCCCAGGCCTCTGCATGAACGGTGATGAGCATGGGGGCTGTTGTCCTCTCGGGAAAGTGACAAGGGCCAGCGCTGCACTGCCCACTGCAGTCCATGCCCGGGACACAGTGGGCATGGCTTATGACTCAGGTACCAGGTGCTTCGCCCTCCCTGAGGCCTTGGCACAGGGCACCAAGGTGCAGAGATACACCCGAGCAGATCTCCTTTCTGTCCCTCTCTCAGACAGAAGCTTTCTTTCCCCCAGTAAATATTCTGATCTTAACCTCTGTTTGTTCCTAAAATTCATTCTTTGGTTTTAGAGAACACGAATTCATCCAGGTATCTTTCAGGTTGGGGGTTTCATTCCCCTATATGAAAACTTTTCAATTTTTCACTTAAAGAATTACTTTAGGGCTGCTTTTTGGCACACTCAAGCTATTCCCATCACCATTCATGTACTTTGGGGCCATTTTTAGGATAGAAAGGGTTATTCCAACACAAGCGCTGTGGCACTGTGACAGCAGGACTGAGAGCTGAGTGGTGGGCGGCTGGGCAGCACATCTGACACGGCTGCTCTGGGCCAGGAGACGCCTCACGTTCCTGGCAGAGTACCACGAGACGCTAGTAGGCTAGCATGAAGGAACTTATGAATTGTTCATTTCTGGAAATTTCCATTAAATATTTTCAGGCTGTGGTTGACAACGGGTAACTGAAACCTTGGATAAAAAAACCTCAGATAAAAGGGGACTCCATGTAATGTTTTGAATAAGAATATACACTAGTCACATTTACCCAATGTGCGCATAAACCCCTTTTTTCGCTTCCAAGCTCCAGAAAACAGAAAGTATTCCGTACATTTATTTGAGGGTCCTCAACACGGGTCTTCCCACCGCTGTTGTTTTTGATTTTTAGTGCTGGGATCAAACTCGTGCCCTTCTCCCGAGCTCCATCCCAGGCCTCATTTAAGGGTTATTTTGAGACAGAGACTCCCTGAATCACTGCGTGGCCCAGGCTGGGCTGCATCTGCTCCCCTCCTGCCTTAGCCTTCTGCTGTGCTGGGCATTCCCACCTGCCTTCCTTGTGGCCAGTGGAACCAGAGAGTTCTGCGCACTGACCACACCGTGCCAGGTGTCAGAGGCAGCTGCGTGCGGGTCCTGGTCCCCACCCTACCTCGAGCCTCCGAGGGTCCCCTCACAAGGAAGCTGAGCCAGCTGTGGTGGTGTCCACCTGTAATTCCCACGCTAGGGAGGCTGAGGCAGGAAAAGCACAGATCCAAGCCCAGTCTGGGAGACCCTGTCTCAGGGTGAAAAACTGAAGGACAGGGGCCATGTCTGTGTGCAGGCCCAGGATCCACCCCAGCCACAAAAGACAGGGAAGGAAGCAGGGCAGGAGGGCAGGCCAGTGGGGGTGGCGGGGGCTGGCCCTAGGGTAGCAGCCCTGCAGGCTGGGCCTGCCGGGGATGCTGGAGTGTCTGGGGCACCCGGGCTGGGGAGAGGCTCGGTGGCTCAATAGCAGGTCTGGGGAGCCGTGGCCTGATCTCTGGCTTGGGAACTTCCTGCTCCTGTGGGGACAGGAGGCGGTGGTGGAGGGGACCCACCCTGCCCCTCCTCCAGGTGGGGTTCCTACCTGTTTGGGGGTACGCAGCAGCTCCTCAGCCGTGGCCACGGCGGTGATGGCCTGGCTGTGCTCCGTGTAGGGGTGGAGGGTGACGGACAGCCCGGCCACCAGCTGGACAGCCAGCTCGGTGATTGACACCTTGTCATCTAGCACGGTGACGGTCTTCTCTGCCAGGATGGAGTCAGACAGGGGGGAGAGCACCTGGGGGTGAAAGGGTATGGGGAGAACGTGGTGCACCTCCCTCCAGGCATCAGCACCTTCTGGCACAGTTCATAGGCAGGACCAAGGGGGTCACACACCTCCCTCACTATGCACCCCAGCCCATTCTGTGTCTTAGGAGAATCAGTCACCCCTGCCCCAAGATATTTCAGTTCTATCTGTTGAAAAACAAATAAACACTGTAGTCCACAATGTCTTCATTTTTATGCATTTTTTTAATTTTTTTTTATTTTTTATTTTTTTTTTGGCGGGAACAGATTGACTTCAGGCCCTTGCGCTTGCCAGGGAAGCATTATTCTACTGAGCCATCTCTCTAGCCCCCCCACAATGTCTTTAAAAGGGGTGGGTGGGGGCTGGGGAGATGGTTCAGTGGAATAAGCACTTCCCTGGCAAGCACAAGGGCCTGAGTTCAATCCCTGGTTCTGCAAAAATAAATAAATAAATAAATAAATAAATAAATAAATAAATAAATAAATAAAAGGGGTGAGCCCACCAGTCTAGCTGGGGCAGTGTTGTGCAGTGCACAACCTGGTTTACTGTACATGGTGAGTCTATGGACAGGATTCAGGAGAAGGGGCACAGAGCCAGGCCCTGTGCAGCCGGAATCGCGCTCTCGGTGCATCGCAGAGCAGAGGCCGGAGGTGTTGGGGCCTGCGGGGGCCACCGCCGTAGGGGTGGGGAGAGGACTGGAGGTTGAGGAAAAGGCCACCCCCACGTGCCCTGAAACCCTGCCATCTGACCCATTTCTTTAGCGACAGATAAGATGAGAAGGGCATTTGTTGAGCGAACAAATGGTGGGGCGGAGGAGCGGTCGGTTCCTACCTGCACGGTCGTCATGCCGACCTCCCTCCCGGCCAGGACACCGCGCTCCTGCAGCGAGGCCACGTGCGGCGCCTCCAGCTTCATGGAGTCCGCTACCAGGCCCGTGACGTCGAACTGCCAGTCGGGGCCCAGCAGGTGGCTGGGCTGTGCCCAGGGCCCGGCCGCCTCGGCCACGAACTGGGCGAGGACGCGCACGCTGGCGCGCTGGAACTGCAGGGCGCAGCCGCGGCCGCGCCGCTCCTCCTCCTCCTCCTCCTCCTCGCTGTCGCGCGTGGGCCTGGGGGAGCGCACGGAGGCTGCAGCGGGAGCGCGGGCAGTGGCGCCTCTCACGCAGGGACCGTCACGCCTCGTGTTTAAGCTCTAATTTATATATATATA